AAGAGCCTGTGAGGTGACAAGAAGGGTATGGGCTGTTCTGCAGCATCTGGGGCTCAGACAGGAATGACACAACTGTACCACATCCACTCTCACACTGAGGTTTTTGTCTGTGCACATAATCACCTGCCAGACTGGTATGTAAATCCCTGTGGGGTATGTAGGGTGACATGTACAGGTGCAAAATAGCTGTGTAGCAGATGGTTTGAGGGGAGTACCAGTCCTGCAAAACTCAGGCCAGGATTTCTGCAAGGAAAAGTTACCCAATCAGCAAGTAATTTTGGCTGTTAATTTTCAGATCCTAGGTACCCTTGGAAAATTATTTCATTGCCAGACTAATTTGTCCCTTGAGGATGAAGTTTTGGCTACACTTCCCAAATGACCTCTATAGCTTAGATAATGCCAGACACCCACACTGCTGCTAAACAGCAAAACAAGCAAGCAGTGCTGTTGTACCAAGGGACAAGACCCTCAGTGGTCACAGAGGGAATCCCCCAGGGAAGCAGCTCACCAAAGCAGTAGATGACAGAAGTGTGAGAAAACGCTCATTCTTACCTTCTCTCTGCTTCCTCAACAGGGCTCTGAGGAGACCATTCGGGTGGTGTCAATGGACAAAGACTACCACGTGGAGTGCTATCACTGCGAGGTAAGCACCAGGCAGCAGCAAAGCTCAGCTCATCACCAGCAGCCTCGTGCTGGGTGCCCAACCCACACCCCAGGGTATACTTGTTTGCTCTTGCACACCTGGGCAGGTAGGCTCTGCCCCATGGCTCCTGGAGGGAGGCAAAGGAATGAGTGCTAGCTGGGCTGCAAGTGGTGCTGCCATCCCCTGTACCAAATCAATTTCTATTTTCCTCCAGCTTCAAAAGCTGCATTTGAGTGTTTGGGTTAAATTTTCTCAGCATTTCCAGATGCGGAGAGAAGAACGAGTAGGTACCAGTTCACTTTTTCCTCATCTTCAGATACAGCTTGTATAGCTGTGACCTGAGGAGACCTGAATTCATGTTGCCTGTGCAGGGAAGGACCCTCCTTCCTACACTAGAAAGCTTTTCTATGTTATCTTGTGTTTTTTCTATTCTGAATTAATATTGATTCTTTACTAGAAAAGGAGACAGGGATACCACTGATCTTCTGTGACCTTTTTTGGGAGGAGTTTCTTTTTATGCAGAATATTTAAATGTTTATTGGGGCAGATCAAGCTGAGGGATTAGTGCTTTTGCTTCAGAGAGGAAAACTGAGCTCAGTTCTAGCTCTGCATCCAGCAGCATGATGAGGGAAACAAACTCTTTAATTTGGGATCCCCCCAAAACTTCCTTTTCTTGTAGGTTTGGCACAATGATGCAACAAGCAAATACCCATACAGCTCCTAACGGTGCTATCTAATTCTCTTGGCACCAGAGGCAAAAAATGCAGCAATATCCTCCACAGAAAGGTTTTACAAAGAGACTTCCAATTGAGGGAGAAAATTAAAAAATTCAGGTTATCTTGAAATGTATATGAACCTAGATGTAAGGAAGACCCCATCCACTTAGGTATCTTGTTCCAACAGAGATACCCAATACTTCATCCTTTTCTATTTTTAAAGAGCAATTGGCACAGGAAATTGCAGCATTTTGGAGAGCTCTACTTCCCTCCTCCTTTTCCCCCCATCTACTGCTTTGTGCAGGCTTCACCTAAGATGACAGCTCCCTCCCCTTCTCTCTCAGGCTATTGACTTTATATTAGAATGTCCCAATGGGGGTTTATTTGGAGTTCTGTTTCATTATTCATTTCTCCATTCTCCTTCCAGTTTGAGGCAAATCAAGCTCCCTCCACATCTGCCCAGCATGCCAGAGTGCATTTATGTACAGAATCAGGGAGTTAACCATGTGTTTACAGGGGTAGGTAACCCTGTTAACCCCGCCTAGTGTCCTCCAATCAGGCTCTCCAACCGTACCTGCTCTCTCCAGATACTGCTAGAAAAATAAGTGCCAGTACTTTGAGGTACTCACATGGAGGGCTTTCCTGACTTACGTGGCCACTCCTGAAATGCTGGTAATGTCATTGTCACCTGGTAGCCATGCAGAATCCGTGCTTTGGTTGGAAACTTTGCTGCTTTTCTGTGTCATCTCTTTCTTCTGCAACCAGTTTCCTTCTGCTGAGGAGTTCCAGCTGGTTAGCAGAGCAGTAGAACCCCACTCTAAAACTGAAACCCACTGAGGAGGCAGGCTTTCTCATTGCAGAAAAGGAATACAGTTTTATAGAGGGAACAAGGTATGAACACTTGGCACATCTGTAAGTTATCTGATATTGTTAGATCCTAACAAGGAATTAAATGACAAATCTTAGAGGACTAAAAAGTTATACAACATATAGTAACACACAAAACTACCTTGGTAGAAACTTTGATTAAAGCCTTCTAAAAGTAGCACTCCAGTGTTAAAGCTTACTTTTAAAACCCCTTTTTCATTCTTATTTCAGCAATGTAAAATTTGAGGATTTAAACTTGAGCTATAAAAGCTGAAAGATCATACTTTGTGTCCAATTAAAACCTTTGCACTAGTTTTCAATACTAAAATTACCTGTATGCCCAACTTGTTCAGCTTGCTTGTTGGTTGTTGGTTGTTTTTTTTCCTTTCTATTAAGTGTGCAGATATATACTTAGAATCTTTGGTTTGTCAGGATTGGTCACAGTCATAATTTTTAAGTAACATACTTGAAACATTGAATCCAAGCACAATCAATGCTTATTAGATGACGCAGAGACCAGAATGGGAAACAATGGAGGGAAAATGCTGGGTACTCCTCTACACTGTGCTGTTTGATTTGAGTGATGTCATTTTGCTTAATATGAGATAGTCAAGGTCCACCTACCAGAAATTCTTGAGGTTGCTGGCTTTGGAGGCATGGGAGGGAGCTCTCAGGCTTCTGCAGAATAGCTCAGCATTGCTGTGAGAAGACCTACTTGAATCACTCACTAATTTGGGATATGTATGTTTCTTCTAGGATTGTGGCTTGCAGCTCAATGATGAGGAAGGCCATCGTTGTTACCCGTTAGAGGGCCACTTGCTCTGCCACAGCTGTCACATCAGGCGCCTTAATATTAAACTGCCGTCACATCCACCTCCGAGCTACCCGATGCATGTCACAGAACTCTGAAAGACATTTCCACGACCAGTAAGCCATTTGAAAGAGAAGAAAAAAAAAAACTAAAAAATGACTTTCCTGTTCCCTTAAAAATGAGATTCCAGTAATAAGCATCTAAACCAGCTATTTATTTTTTAAATCAGAGGTGAGGGGTCCTTTTCAGATCTTGTACATATGCATTCTTTATCTGATGTTTTCACTCAGACACTGTCTACTTGAACAAATAATTCACCACTAAACTGTAACTGTAAATGGCATCATTTCTAAAAAAAATGGTACAAAGGGCTGTTCTGCATTTCCTACTCACATTCGTTCAGTGGAGATTTTGCCCAAGTAAGGACCGTAGAATTACTTTCCAAAAGGTAGCACCTTATTGTACTGCAGCAAGCATGGTAAGATAAATGCTAGCATTTTAGCTAGTTTTGTTGAATTCTGGTCTTAGAGAATACAGTCTCACATTTTAAAAAATGTAGATTCCCAGAAGTAGTGAATAGGAAGAAAAAAAAGTGTTGTTAGCAGTGACATTTTTCAGCAAGGGTTAAACAATGGTATTCTGTGAAGAAGCATCTGGCCAGCTTTCCATCCTGCAAGGTTCCACAGTCATCCAAAGACTATTTAACTTGCAAATAAATGTGGCAAGCATCTCATAAAATATGTCTAAAAGAATGGCACGTGCAAGGTCGTAAAGTTGCAGACCTCTGTAATTGCCTGCCATGTACAAATGTAGCCATGGTTTCAAAATGCATTTGTAGCAACTTGGTGATTTGGCACTTACTAAAGAATTCATCATTTAAAACTGTTGTTTTCCAATAGGGTTAGGCAGCCCCTTCCTATGCAAAGGTACACTTGTCTTTATACTACTTGTTTTGTACAAGACTTCATTTGTTGCAACTGCTTTATAATTGTATGTTGATACATTGTTAAAAAAAGAGGGGGGCAGTGGTTTTTGTATTATCTTTTCAGCTTTGTGTTCTTTTCTAGATGTACTTTTTTTTAACTGATTACGGTGATTGTCTTCATTGGGAAACAAAGTACAGTTTAGCAGAAATAATCATTTAGAGATCCAGACCACTGAAATATTGGTGTTCTATAACAAGTATTAGATGTACATAGAATGTACACACTTTCATATAGTGCATAAGCTTTTACAGTAACCTCAGAGCTCTGGGGAAATACATGTCTTCCATATAGGAAGTTAGACAAATGTTTTTATGGTTTGTTTTTTACCATGTGTTGATGATTTACATGCAAATCACACACTCTGTATGTTTAAAAAATTCCTTGCATTCTCATGAGAATTGATCCAGCCTTCCTGAATTTATATTTTAAATACATCCATCATTTCTGTCTTTAACTGTGTCCAAAATTACAATAAAATAAAATTATTCTGCTCCAGAGGAAGTGGAAATACCAGACCAGATTCTCCACATGTGAAAACTGGGGACATTTCCATGCCAGTCCTTGACACATCAAGAATCTGACCGATCCATTTGGAAATGATCCCATGTTAAATTCAGCACACAGACTGATGAAATTACTTATTTGGCAACACCATTGCAGTTTGGTTTCTTATGCTCCATTGATTTTTTTAAAGCCATTTGTGGTGCTCTTGAAAAGTACAAAGAGCAGCCAATGGACACTAATTTCTAAGTGGAATAATTAACTCCCTTAACAGAACTTTTTGATAGTCTGGAATTTCCTTATGGGGGATCAGAGGGGGCAGGAAAAATTCCTGTGAACTATTTATTTCTGTTAGTAAAGAACAAAAGGTATGTTTCCTGAACTTTTGCCAAACTTTCATTGGCCTGGATTAACCCATGCTACTGAATGCTCCTTGGCGAGTCAGATGCTCCTTTAAAAATTATTCCTAATTAATACAGACTGGTTTATAATTAACGTATTTAATGTGATAGTCATATTTTGAATGTGATAGTCCTGTTCTGAAGGAATTGCAGTGCAACACTGCCCTGTTTCTACAGCATAGCCTACGAGGCCTGGCCTGCAAAAGAGAGGACAGTGGGTGCATGCACAATTGTTCTGCTTTAGCAGACATTACCTCTGTGTCCATAGTGAGCCGCCCAGCCTCGGAGGGACGTGGAAGAACATGTGCCTCTCACTCAAACAGCAAGTGCTAGAAAAGAGAAGAAAAAAATAACTGCCTTAAAGTGGTTTGTATCACTAGGTCAATTTCTTCAGGTTATTACAAACATGGAAGATATCAGAGCTTCAGGATAAACTTTTAGCATCAGCTGCAATGTAATACTTTTTCCATTTAAGGAAGGTGCTTTGGACCACATTTAGCTTTGAGGTATTTTTACTTGCTTGTCTTTACAATAAGGAACCCAAATGAAGAAAACAATCATTAAAATACACAGAGTTTGGGTAGGTTCCTGTGAACAGTACTCACTGTACTGGAAAAATGTTTTGCTCTCCCACTATAGAAGCAAAACCTTCAACGTGGTGGTGATTCTGGTGTCCAGCCCCACCTTCTGCCAGTGCCTGCCTTAGCACTTTGCCTCCTGCAGTGGCAAGTTTCAGTTTCCCCTCCAACACACTTTCCAAGGGACAGCACACGATGCAACATGTACATACCACACCTTATCTTCTTTTGTTAACATGGGCATACTGTAGAGCAGAATAATATTTAATTTCATTTTACATGTTAATTTGTCAGTCTCTTGTAGTTCTACACAGTTCCAATGTGTTAAGTATCATCATGGTAAAAATATCAAAAGGTAGTATTGCAATATAGAATAAGTAGTGTTTAAAACCAGAAAGCAGCAGTTGTTCCAGTATTTTCTATAGACAGGTGCATTCCATTACTCTAATGAAGTACAGCTTTGTTTTTTCAGCATCTACTACAAAAACAGGAGCTTGAGAGAAATTTACCAGTATTTGTGGTTGTTTTTTTTTTTCCCAAGGAAAAATAAAAGCAAATCTAAAATAATGATGTGCTGTACTCTTTAGTGCTAGTGACAGTTTCTGCACATTTTGCCTTCTGTCTGGGAAAGTATGTAAATGAGAAAGCATTTTAATTATTTTCTTAAAGGAGTATTCTTATGTTAAATCAGTTCAACAAAGAAAAACTTCCTAGAGTTCATTTTATGATCTGATTGTTCTTCAGAAGCCTTTGCTACACTTTCAGAATATTTTCATAAAGTCAAAACAATAACAAGTTCTCAGTTGCATCAGGATTACACCTTTCCATTTTGGTAAGGAATCTGACAAAGTCCCTGCAGCACAAAGCCCTCATAGGTGATTCAGAGTCTCTCCTGCACTGGGCCACACATTCCAAAGAAAGGACCAAAATAATAATTTGAAAACAAAATAATGCACTCAGATAATTGAGCTTTCAGTGAGGGTTTTTGTTTGGGTTTCTTTCCTTTTCCTTTCACTTGTGTGCACGTGTGTGTATATATTTTGTAAGGTGGAGCTTCAAAAGGAAAACATGGTTAGAGGAGCTCTTTAAGATCAGAAATTCCAGAGTAGTTAAGTAAACCAAAGCTCTAAAGGAGACAAAAGCTGCTTTCTTGTGTTTCAAGAAAAGTTTAAAAGTTTGTGATTCATCCTGTAACTAATGCCGTAACTAGAGTATATAATTTGACTTAAATTAAGTTTTCATTTGAGAAATATTTTCATTTTCTTTAAAAGAATATAGTTTTCTTCCAAGAACTTGGACCAACATTGATTTTTATTTTGTAGGAAATTTATAAATTCCCAGTTTGTATATCATGTAACTAGTTTACATGCTGAAAATATACATTAGTTTAACTATTTTTGTATATATATCCTTGTAAAACCTTTCAATGTGCTCTGTCTTTTAGTCTTTAGAATTACTTGTGGTTTTGTGTTTCAGTGTTTGATTCTCTTGATTGTTGAAGAAAAAAATTGGGAAATGTAGATTTATTTATCTAAAGAAGAAGCTACTTGCTATCATCCTAAGTTATTTAATATTAAAGTCAGAAGTCTCATTTAACCTTAGATGCTGTAATCTGCTTTTTTCAATAAAGACATTTTGTAGTTATCTCTGATTTTGTAGTTTGTTGCATGTAAGTATTTTATTTTTTTTTAATCTAGGTGGGAACTAAAACCAGTTTCAGGAGACCCTTGTCTTGCCTGCAGAAGTGCCTAATTCATATTAATTGACTGCAGCTGCATTCATGAAAAATTGTTGGTCCTCCAGTGCAAGTGTTACTAATTAAGGTCTAAAATGTGCCCACAGCTAATGTTTTGCAGCTGCACTTAGAAAATAATTTAACCACTCTGGCAATTTTTAATTAAGCTTTAACCAGTCTGGCCAGTTCACATGTAGGATAGTCAGTATTGAGGAACACTTCCTTTTCAAGATTCTCATTATTTTTTTGAGTTCCAGAAGAGAAGTGCTTGCCTGGGCTGTGAACTTGCATAGCTTTAAGCACTCAGACCTGGCCTGGGGAATTTTCTCTTTTTTTTGCTAAGTCACAGTAATTCAGAGCTTTGATAGGATCAAAAAGATGTTTTAAAATATATTTTACCTTTCTGGAGCTCTTTGCCACTTTCTTGTCTTCAGTTTCATGGCACAGGTGAGAGCTTGGTCACATTTACCTTCTGCACGCAGTGGTCCTGCAAGAGCTGCAGCATCTGTCAGGCTAAAGGACCATCACTGCTTTTGTCTCAAAGCTATGGCCAAAAATGGTACCTGGGAAAAGAGGCCAAAACCCATTTACTTCCTGGTTTCCACATATTGAGAGGGTTTCCTTTCCATTAAGCTGGTCTGCTCTGCCATCCTTGTGGATGCTCTTCTCTTCAGTGCTTTGTAGACCTCAAATAGTCAGAAGCTGCTACTTCAGTGTGATGCCACCCTCTCCACCAAAGAGGTCTGCTCTGCCATTCTGGCTTTGCAAAGTACAAATGACTTTACATTTGGAAATGAAACTCAGTGGTGGTTTTCACTCAACGGCTATTTTGGCAGTTGGTTTTTTTTCTTTTGTACAGTCAGAATGGAAAGAGTTAAAAATGCCACAATTGTTTTAGAGACACAGGCTGCACATACATGCTTTGAAACATATGTAACACACTTCTATAGGGCCTTCACATATATGCTATTTTTTTTCACTCTCATAATTTTAAGAAAAAAATTCATTCAAAATGAGCAATTTATGTCCTCCTTGAAGGAAGGAGAAAAAAAGTACAAAGACTGGTCAACTCAAAGCATTTTAATAGTGCCTCAGCACAGGTGTGACACAAA